TGGAAGAAAGTAAGTGCATATGAAGAAAACTGGCTGTCAGGGTATTGCTAAATAAGCAGTTGTGTATTCCCAGGGTTGAGGATTAGCTCAAGTAATGAAAGCAGCCTGGGTTGGCATCATCTGATGTTTTTTGAGTCTTGCTGTAGACTTTCAAGGGAGTCACACACTCGGAACCAGGTTGAGGGCCTTTTGGACCACACATTGAAAATCCCTTAGTAGACCTTGGAACTGTCAGAGTGTGCAGTTCTAGGAGTTGTGTTTTTTTCTGCTTCTTATTTATTAGAACCCTGAAAGGCAAGCAAAAACCTGGCAACATGACAAAATAATAACAAATGCTAGTTGCTCACTATCTTCCAGGGACCATGCTAAGCATTTTACATGTTTTTTCCTGTATGGTCTTTACAATAACCCAATGACACCTATGTTATTATTATTCTCATATTACAGATGAGGAAATATCTATAATAACTTTCTCAAGATCATATAGCTAGTAAATGGCAGGGCTAGAATAACTGAACGTTGACTTTAAAACCCATATTCTTGGCTGGGCGCAGTCGCTCACACCTGTGATCCCAGCACTTTGGGAGGCTGAGGTGGGTGGATCACTGGAGGTCAGGAGTTTGAGGCCATCCTGGCCAACATGGTGAAACCCTGTCTCTACTAAAAATACAAAAATTAGCTGGTTGTGTTAGTGGACGCCTATAATCCCAGCCACTTGGGAGGCTGAGGCATGAGAATTGCTTGAACCTGGGGATGGAGGTTGCAGTGAGCCAAGATTGCATCACCGCACTCCAGCCTGGGTGACAGAGTGAGTCTGTCTCAAAAAATAAAAAAAGACCATGCCTATGTCCTGAATGGTATTGTATGCGGTTTATTCTAGGGTTTTTATGGTATTAGGTCTTATGTTTAAATCTTTAATCCATCTGGAGTTAATTTTTGTATAAGGTGTAAGGAAGGAATCTAGTTTCAGCTTTCTGCATATGGCTAGCCAGTTTTCCCAACACCATTTAATAAATGGGGAATCCTTTCCCCATTGCTCGTTTTTGTCTGGTTTGTCAAAGATCAGATGGTTGTAGATGTGCGATGTTATTTCTGAGGCCTCTGTTCTGTTACATTTGTCTACATATCTGTTTTGGAACCAGTACCATGCTGTTTTGATTACTGTAGCCTTGTAGTGTAGTTTAAAGTCAGGTAGCGTGATACCTCCAGCTTTGTTTTTTTGTTTTTTGGGTTTTTTTTTGCTTAGGCTTGTCCTGGCTATGCAGACTCTTCTTTTGATTACATATGAAATTTAAGGTGTTTTTTTCCAATTCTGTGAAGAAAGTCAATGGTAGCTCAATGGGGATAGTATTGAATCTATAAATTACTTTGGGCAGCATGGCCATTTTCACGATATTGATTCTTCCTAACCATGAGCATGGAATGTTCTTCCATCTGTTTGTGTCCTCTCTTATTTCCTTGATCAGTGGTTTGTAGTTCTCCTTGAAGAGGTCCTTCACATCCCTTGTTAGTTGTATTCCTAGATATTTTATTCTCTTGTAGCAATTGTGAATGGGAGTTCACTCATGAGTTGGCTCTCTGTTTGTCCGTTATTGGTGTATAGGAATGCTTGTGGTTTTTGCACATTGATTTTGTATCTTGATACTTTGCTGAAGTTGCTTATCAGCTTAAAGAGATTTTGGGCAGGGAAAACCTAGGCAATACCATTTAGGACATAGGCATGGGCAAAGACTTCATGACTAAAACCCCAAAAGCAATGGCAACAAAAGCCAAGATAGAAAAATGGGATCTAATTAAACTAAAGAGCTTCTGCACAGCAAAAGAAAATACCATTAGAGTGAACTGGCAACCAACAGAATGGGAAAACATTTTTGCAATCTACCCATATGACAAAGAGCTAATATCTAGAATCTAGAAAGAACTTAACTAATTTACAAGAAAAAAACAATCCCATCAAAAATTGAAAGATAGGAACAGACACTTCTCAAAAGAAAACATTTATGCAGCCAACAAACATACGAAGGTCATCATCACTGATCATTAGAGAAATGCAAATCAAAACCACATTGAGATACTATCTCATGCCAGTTAGAATGGTGATCATTAAAAAATCAAGAGACAACAGATGCTAGAGAGAATGTGGAGAAATAGGGACACTTTTACACCGTTGGTGGGAGTGTAAATTAGTTCAACCATTGTAGAATACAGTGTGGCAATTCCTCAGGGATCTAGAACTAGAAATACCATTTGATCCAGCAATCCCATTACTGGGTATATACCCAAAGGATTATAAATCATTCTATTACAAAGACAAATGCACACGTATGTTTATTGCGGCACTGTTCACAATAGCAAAGACTTGGAACCAACTCAAATGCCCATCAGTGATATAATGGATAAAGAAAATGTGGCACGTATACACCATGGAATACTATGCAGCCATAAAAAAGATGAGTTAATGTCCTTTGCAGGGACATGGATAAAACCAGAAACCATCATTCTCAGCAAACTGACACAAGAACAGAAAACCAAACACTGCATGTTCTCACTCATAAGTGGGTGTTGAACAGTGAGAACACATGGATACAAGGAGGGGAACATCACACACCAGGGCCTGTCAGGGGATGGGGGGCTAAGGGAGGGATAACATTAGGAGAAATACCTAATATAGATGATGGGGTGATAGATGCAGCAAACCACCATGGCATGTGTATACCCGTGTAACAAACCTGCATGCTCTGCACATGTACCCCAGAACTTAAAGTATAATAATAATAATTTTAAAACTCATATTCTTAATTATGAAGCTATTTACTTCTTTTTTTCTTGAGATTAAAGGCCTATTTTTAATGATTTCTTAGTCACAATTAGTTGCCTGCAATTCAATTTGGGTGTGGCATAGGACTTAAATGTAATTAATACTGGATTTTTGATTTTGAAAAATAAATAAAAAATTTGAATTTTCTCCTGTCCTTCAAAGCTCTGTGTTTTAATGTGTTTTATTAAAAATTTATAGGTAATTCAGAAGAAGTGGCCCTCTTTGAGGACCCAATAGGCTAGAGTGTTTTATTACATATTGGAAAATCAGAGATTAATTTCTTATGAGATAAACATTGCCATTCTTTGGCCTTTTAACTTTCAGTAGAGAGCAGCAAAATGGAACATCTTTGCTCCCAGACAAGGGAATTACTCCCTTACCCAAGGTATCGGGGCTGAACCTCTCATAGATTTATTGTGATAGACTCAAGTTTGGTGAACACAGAGACAAGGAAGGGTTTCTTAGAGAAAGAGATCTATTTTTTCTTTTTTATTTTGACTAAGGAAAGGCATATGTACTCCTAAATGATGATGCTATGAGAGAGACCTAGACCAGAAGGGGGCTTAAAACAATATGGAAGAAGTAATTTTTTGTTGTTGTTGTTTTGTGGAGTTTTGTTTGTTTGTTTGTTTTTGGTGGTGTTAGTCTCTCTATAGTGAATGGCAAAGAGCAAGAATACTTTGTAGATTTGTCTCATGTTGGTAGAAGGCAGAAACTCTACATGTTATGTAAAGTTAATAGAATACAAGTGGAGTAGGCTCAAGTAAGGTAAGGCACATAATACTTGCTGGGGTGGGGAAGTGACCTTTGAATTCCTTCAACAATTATCTTCAAAAATTATCTGCTGCTTCTTTGTGGTTTTCTTAGGTCACTGGACCTATTTGGGCTGGGGAAAGCAACAGAGTAAGTAAGAATTGAAATTCCTTATGATTTTCTTGATCTTACCCCAAGTACATACTCCCTCTGAACTGTGAAACTGGATATTCATGCATACAAGCATATATACTTCCATTTCCCTCTCCTCTCCTACTTAAATCTCAGGAGACAATGATCTGTGGTGGAATGTTATATCCTTTCAGGCTGGTTTCTTGATGACTTGGTGTGTGTTTATGTGTGCTACAAATTTCAAACCAAAGTCCCAGTCATAATCCTGACAAGATCTCCTAATTTTTATTCTCCAGAGACAAGTAGTAGCATCAGCCCCCTTGCGTAGGAAACCTCCTCCTTTGGTCCCTTTGACTAAGGAGTGCAGTGATCAGAAGGAGAAGGCTCATTCTAGGATGAACTAGAGTTGGGGTAATTGGTGTGCATTCTGATTTGGCTGGTTTTCTCGACTAGGAAGATACACAGAACAGACTGCTGCCTCGGGTTTATTGGTCTAGCAAATTGTGAATGCCATTTCAGCCAAAAACCTGCTTTTGTCAAGGAAACAAGAGGCTAAGGACATGGCTTGACTTTTCTTGAAGCAGCCCAACTATGCCACCTTTGTTCTAGAGCTTACAGAGTGCACCCAGTTCTTTGTGGCAAAACAGGTAGCCCTAGGCTGACATCACTTGTTTTGTTACTCATCTCACGGGATATAGTTGAGTTTCAGTAATTAGGTATCCAGTAGCTACTAAGAGGGGCCAAAGTTTGTCCTGTCACTGGAATTTCTAATGAAGTATGTGCTTTCTGTGATTTGAATCCTCAGTATTTCTACCATTAGGGAACTACTCAAAAGCAGCTTGACCCATTTATGCCTAGTGTTCCATTATTGGAACGCTAAGAATGTGGGAGTTATTTATATCCTAGTGCTCAACGTCATCACCAAGCAGTAGGTGACCTCAGGCATAAATTGCAACCTCAGGCATAAGCGGGTTAACAGAGCTCAGATAAGTTAAGGTTTTGAAGTATAAAAAATAAGTCATGAAAAAAATGTGAACGAATTTTCTTTCTTTTCTTTGGTTGCTGAAGTTCTATTAATAGGTGTGCTCTGGATTTAAAGACCAATCCAGGACTCAATCCAGGAATACTACATAGTAGAGGGCCTCATTGTTTTGTATTTCACTGAATTTTGTTTGAGTGCCTGCTGTGTGTTTGGAGGCCCATCTTTGCTTGCCCCAGGTTAGATGATCATCCTAGCCTACTTTTGCAGGTTTTAAATTTTCCATCATTTCCATGTCCTTTTACTTACCTATCAAATGAACTACAAAACGGTTTCTCAAAAATATACTGCCTTTCCCACCACTAGGTCTTTAATCATGCCACTGCTTTTATCCACATTCTAGAAGATATTTCCCCTTTGCCTCCAATCTTCACTTATTAAAAACCCACCCGTTCTTCAAAGCCATCTCCTCCATAAAGTTCTGTACTTAGCCTATCAGGAACTGATTTTACTTTTAACTCATAGCACTTGATTTATGCTATTTTCATGGTACTAACTTCCTTGTATAACAATTCAATATTTGTATCTATATATGCTGTCTCCTGTTAGACTAAGTTTACATTCTGAGTCTTCTGCATTGTTCATCCTTGCATGTGTAGGTACTTGGTTAATATTTGAATGAGTAGGTGTTCCCAGGCCTTTTAATTTCCATCTTTCAAATAGACTTTGCCAGGGGCTTTTCAAATTTAACCCTCAAACTGGCTCTCTTGTTCCTTCTTAGGCTGAGCCAACCAAACCAGCACTCAGTTTTTCTGTAAAGCCAGGGCTTTTCTTGTCTATCCAGCATGGTGCTGTGGGGTAGATTGTGGAGTCCTTAAGATCATCACTCACACACTAAAAAAACAGTTATTTTTTTCAAATTGAAGTGTAACACATTTTCATTAATTTCCCTTTTTAGTTTCTAATCAGGCTTGGTGGTGCCAGGAGGTTAACTTTTTAGGGAACTGGAAATGATTGCCTCTCACTACCTTTTTCTGTTTCTCTCCTTTGTCTCGCTTTATTCCTTATTTCTCTCTTATTCCTGTTTTCTCTCTCCTGCCCTCTCCTTTTCATATTCTCTTCTACTCCCACCCTCTTCTTTCCATGGATGCTTTGTTTCTTAATATTTGCCCTTTATTTCTTTAGTGTAGAAATGTTGTTAGCCTTTAGGAAAGTTGTAGAGTATTCCTCCCTTTAGCCTAGCAAAAAAAAAAAAAAAAAAAGAAAAGAAAAAAAAGCATTATTTAGGAGTAATAGGTCACATGCAGTGAGAAAGTAAAAGCTGTAGATTTGGGTCGTGGGCTTCTAACTCTGGTTGAGCTGTACTCTCTGTCCTCAAAAGTGATAGGATTGTCTGTTGTGGTTGCCTCTTGGAAACTCAATCTTCGTTCTCTGGGTTATGTGCTAATACTTTTCCTGCCAGAGTTTAGTAGATCTCTGGTTTTGTCTCCTTTGTTGCCTCTGCCCCCTCATCTGTATGCATAAATAGTCCAGTACTGACTGCTACAGACTTGCTCTTTCTGTGGGTTCAGAAAGAATTAAGTCTGAGTGGCATATGGTTTTGTCTCTGGGTCCTATTTTTCTTGTCTTCATAACAACAGATGCATCAAGGGCTAAAACCAGTGCCTTCAAAGTCTCTTTTTCCTAATTTGTCATCAGAATGCTTTGTAGGCAGAATGATTTGCATCCCTCAGGTTTGCTTTTGTTTTCAAGCTTTACTGTTCCTGCCCTGGTCAGTGGACTACTTGCTCCAAATGTCAAATATTACTAAGAATTGTTCCTAACCATTTGAGCTTCAGTTTTATGTTGATATTTTTCCTCCTGTGGTTCTAACCACCCTCCTCTCCTTTTTTTATGTTCACATGTAACCATAAACTCACATGGGTAAAGCTCATAAGATCATCTTACCCCTGTCTTTCATCTGTACCCACAAATGTTATCGAGAGTCCAATGCTCAGATTGTGAAACAGTGAGACCAGCAACACACTAAGAGTGCTGCTGTTCTCAGCGCATCTAGATCCTTTGACTTCATTTCCAAGACTTGGCTTTGACCTTCCTGATTTCCAGGACCAGCGTCTGATGTTGGACCTGCTTATTTGGTTCAATTCATATATTTAAAAGTCTGAAAACAGCAAGACAATGTTAAACAAAAGTTTTTTTGCCCCCCAAGATATGAAAAAGCTATTTTTTTTTTAACCTCTGCTCCCGTCCCCTTTCTTTAATAGCAGAGGACCAGACTGTATTTATGACATTTAAAAACAGTTTTTAATTATGCTTTTGATAGCTGGAGAAGCAGAATTCCAAAGAATTCTACAGTGGGAAAATGCAACCTGGAACTCCTCTAAAAATAAGCACTAAAATTAAGCTAAGTAAACTATCTCCTATGATAAGGAAGAGAGACTTGTGGGTGTTAATTCAGACAGTTCTACTCATGGCTCTGAGGTCACTGGGCTCACGTGCAGCTCAGCTTGCTTTTGTTCTTAAGGTCCGGACTGGTTACTACTAAGTTAGAAGCAGAAATAATTCTGAAGAACTAAATAAAGCTGGAGTGCTTTGATTGAATGTGCTTATTCCACAGCTTTTGAAGACCCTGATAGTGCAGTCGATGACCGAGATAGTGACTATCGCAGTGAGACCAGCAACAGCATCCCACCTCCTTACCATACAACTTCTCAGCCCAATGCCTCTGTGCATCAGTTCCCTGTGCAGGTGCGATTGCCACAGCAGCTGCTATTTCAAGGCAGTTCCCGGGACTCTTGTAATGACTCTATGCAAAGTTCTGACCTTGATTATCCGGAGCGGCGGGCTATCAGGTGGGTATTGGGCAGAAAATACTTTCTCTTTCTAATATCCAGGTCTCATGATGCAATTGGCAACAAGAATTTGGGTGCTTTAACTTGAAGAGGTAGCAGAAGTGTAGCAGTATCATGGGCCAAACTGCAGTCATTTTGTGTAGATTATTAGTCTTTTTTTCTCTTCCACACATTTACATTTATACATTGCCATAAGGAATACTTCTCTTTATGGTCAGTGATTCTCAACTGATCAGGGCAGGCCCACTTGGGGTGTATCTGCCCCACTTCCTGACTCAGTGAGTTTGGTATACCCTTCACCAAGATTAAAAACAGAAAAATCACAAATTGGATAATCCTTCTTGCCTATTTCCCTGGGAACTTTAGAAGAAAACCAATATGATTAAGTATTTTCACTGGAACTTTGTTTGAATTTTATTTCTTAAATATATAAAACATTTATGTGGTTTAAAAAATGTTAAGGTACAATATAGCATAACGAATTTCCCACCCACACTTACCTGCCTCTACCCCATCCTCTTCCTGTTTTATATTTGCCTTCCTTCTGTTGTTTCTTGTATATCCTTCCATTGACTCTTGTCATATATTCATGAGTATAAAAGCAAATATATA